TCGCACTGGCGCGCACTTCCATCGTTGCAATCCTTCCATCGCTAGAAGAATGATTTTTAACAAATACTTGAGTTCGTTTTAGAAATGATTGAGTCAAAAATGGTCTCGTTGAGAGGCATTTGCGGTCCGATTTTTGGCAAGTTGCTGGTCTTTGGCTTTGATCTACTTTAGCTTTCTTCAGATTCATCTTGCGATTCTTCACCCACCTCCCCCTTCCCCCTCTTGAAGAATACTGGAAGGTTAGAGTTTCCTAACAAATGCTTGAACTCACTGCTAAAATGAGCGAGTCAAAAAAAATAGCGACTTGGCCCATTTTTCTCATTGAATTTTTCGGGCTGATCTTTTGAAAACGCGAGTTTCAGAGCTACAAATGGTCACAACTCCCTTTAAAATTGGTTGTGCGGAAAAGCATGAAATTGGAAAATTAGGAGTTTTGTGCTCTGAAATAGGTGCTGTACCCTTCCTAAAAGACATCGACTTGCAGGTTTTTTTGAAATTTTCTTCTGAGCCTTAAAGAGTCAGTTCGCCTCACTGGTTACTCTTTCCCTTATATAGGCATGGTCCACAAATATCGAATTCCCTGTAGAGCAATTTTGATGTCTTTGGATAATCACATATGTATGGACTCATAATATCTATGGACTAATTCTGTTCTAAGAAGTCGCGACAGCAAACGTTTCGATTTCAATCTTCTAGACCTGTAAGCCCAAACCTAGAGCTGTGAACTTTATTCGCATCTGTGTAACTCACAATTTCATTCTTTACCGTTGCAGTTTCAGCCACTCACGTTTTTTCATACATTTAGGACCCTTACAGCGCTAACCATTCTCTACGCTTCTACATCTATGAGGATCTCCATGCGACGTTGACCCCTGCCCATATGATCCTGTTCCTTTGGTCAAATGCGCCCCATCGCAGAACCTCCTTCAACGCACGGTTGATCCTGGCACAAGGACATGCAGATCGAGTCTAGAAGCCAGATTTTTGACTTTTGAATTTTTGAATTATTCGGTATTCCCTACCCCTCACAATCTGATTTTAGGGGCACTAGACTAATTGGCAGGAAGTGTAGCTTATAACCAATACTGTATGGAAACTTATGGGTGGTAAACTAGACATGCGTTGTAGAATAGGCGGTTACGTTGAGGACCTGAACACACTGGTGAACTCACGTGCGTAACTCTGATACATCTCTAAGGCCGATGTCAGACTTTGTGAATCGCGCGATTCGCTAGCGTCTG